AAGTCCCTTTGCTCAGGAAGGAGAGTACCTTGAGTCTGGCGCCTTAGACCGCTCGGCCATCCTGACATCTGCAAAAAACATAGTCTGATTCATTAATGTGTACTCTCCTGTCTCTAAAGTACTATTGTGAATTTGTCTCTAACACGTGTGTTTCTCCCTTTTATGTTTATTAACTATTGTTGAGAATTGTCCTCTTTTTGCATGAAACAATTTTGCACCAGTGGTGGCAGAATCAAAATGGTGCCAGCTCACCAACTTTACTGCATCATATTGTTTCCAAGACCAACAATTAGATTTATGTTAATTGAAAATGTAACTGAATAGAACTCACCTGTGGAGCTAATTCACTGTTGGACAGTTGTTTTAGTTACTTGAACAGTGAATGATTTTGTTCAAATCTCAAGCTGCATGTAGATATTTAATGAGAAACTTGCTTTTCACCTATTGTCTAAATCAACAGGGTTGAAACCTGCAGGTAAAAGCACTGTCAGGAGTGGGATTTGAACCCACGCCTCCATTCGGAGACCAGAAGTCCCTTTGCTCAGGAAGGAGAATACCTTGAGTCTGGCGCCTTAGACCGCTCGGCCATCCTGACAATGGAAACCAAGTACCCACATTAAAAACGTAACAGGAATATGTCCTCCATTGTCTTCAAAGTACTATTGTGAATTTGGCTCCAACTCAAATGTAAGAATTTCCTCATTTTGCATAAAACAGTTTTGCACCAGTGGTGGCAGATTCAAAATGGTGCCAAGTCAACAACTTTTCCGCTTCATATTTTTTCCAAGACCAACAAACAAGTTAGACCTATGTTAATTGAAATTCAGCTCAACACAACTCATCTGTGCAGCTGATTCACTGTCAGACAGTTACTTTAGTTACGTCAAGAGTCTGTGATTTTGTTCATACATTACCATATATTTACCTGCAATGAGAAACTTGCTTTTCAACTATTTTCTAAATCAATAGGGATTAAACCTGCAGGTAAAAGCACTGTCAGGAGTGGGATTTGAAACCCACGACTCCATTGGAGACCAGAAGTCCACTGCTGAGGAAAGGAGTTCTTACCTTGAGTTGGCGCCTTAGACACTCGGCCATACCTGACAACTGAGAAGGAAGCCGAAACTGTTTGTGTTTCTTTCAAAAGAGCCCACCACTATGATGGCTTTTCTGCCATATTGGCTGTATTAATACACATGAAGACGACCATATATGAACCATAGAACTCTGAATCTTATCTACCTATCACCTTTGATTGGCACTTGGGTGAAATGTCTCTGAGAGCAATAAAGTCCGAATGGCAGCAAGAACAGAGGAGGCCAAAAAGATACAAGAAAATGTCTTAAGTGTTGGCTGGATGTTTCGACTGCCAGGTGGCTAACAGCTTATTCTTAGCAGCTCCACTCTCGTCACATCTTTTTTTATTCCCTCTCGCACAAGTTTTCCTACTCGCTCACTGCCTCCTTCTTCCTATCCGCAGTTCTCTCCATCTACTCTTCCTCCTTCTTTCTCATCTTTCCACTACAGTTTAAATTCATTTACTTTTACAAACCGTTCATAAGAGAAAATAATTGTCAATCTGTATCTAAAAAGTAAACATCCACCAAAACCAACAAGCAACACGCTTTGTGCCTTCAATACCACAACTGAAATCATTACTTATTAAGCTTTGAAAACATGTAATAGAGACTGAATGTTGGTTTTAAGAGAGCTGCTGTTTGCTTTTGTCTCAGCCCTCCACTCCCTCTCCTCTCTGTTTTCTCTCTCTCTCTCATTCACCCTCTCCTTTCTCTTTCTTTCAGTCATGTGGATGTGATGTGCTGATGATTTGAAACCACATCTACCCAAAGCCACGCAAGCCCTCCCCACTCTCCTTTGCAAGTCACATCAATTTTTATTTCTCCTTCTGGTCTCTCATGGTGCTCAGTCGCTCAGCTCCTCCACTAATATAATATATATATTATTAGTTACTAGTCTCAGTCCTCAGTCCTCCACTATATATATATATATATATATATATATATATTTATATACACACACAGCATATACATACAGTGTATGGAAAGACGGTAAGTAGATATATTTGAACTACACACATAACAGTATCTCAAGGACATCTGTGTTTTTTGTGTTGTTACCTACCAATATAATATATCAGCAGGATCTTATCAACACTCCTCTCTGCAAAGAAAGGTGTGGTGTGTGTGTGTGTGACAGAGAGAGAGAAAGAGAGAGAGAAATCCAAAAGGGGAAAAACATATATAAATCATTGCACTTCCAAAACACCACAGTGTATACAGCATATGCAGTATAAAATAATGATAATAAGGAAGCAGTGGAGGAAGTATTTAGATCCTTTACTGTAAGTAAAAATACTAATACTACACTGTCAAAATACTCTATTACAAGTACAAGTTCTACATTGAAAATATTACCTAAGTAGGAGTATGTATGTAAGTATAATCATGTACTAGTATTAAAAGCATTAAAAGTAAAAGTAATCAATGCAGTCCACTCTGACTGTTATACTACTGTATATTCGATTATTATTGCTAATGTATTATTGTACAGCAGCAGTTCACTGTTGTAGTTGGTTGAGGTCAGGTTGATTTTGAACTATATTGTATAGGACGGCATCAAATGATTATTTTCATTGCTAATTATTGTCTCCATTTATCGAATGATTGTTTGGTTTGTAAAAACTCTCAAAATAGTGTTCAAATACCATCACAATTACCCAAAACCCAAAGTGAAACCGTCACAATACTTGTTCAATAAAACTATGAAAAGAGAGGGAAGTGTCGTCTGGTGCAAAACAAATAAGTGTTGTCTCCCAGTTCAGTGCATACTAATAGTACAGTTAACTTTGTTTATTCATTTTCATAGTATCCTGTTTTTGCTGCTATGTATTCTCTGTTTTGTGTTATTCATTGTTGTGACTTTGAGGCATGTCAATACTTGCTAAATATGTAAAGCATTGATACTTACTGATAACACAAGCATACCTATTCCTGCATGTTTCATAAAAATAAAAAAAACAGGAAAGAAACAGGAAACTTCAGTAAGCAACTGTCAGTTGAACAAACAAAATGTTTTCCCAAAGATTGTATATCTTTTTGTTATTGTTTTCCATGAGCTGTTCCATGTCTAAGACTATATTTTGCATCTTTGACACATACTTCTGGTGTTCTGAAACTGTGCGATACGCAGCTAAAAGTAAATTCTGAGCTATATGAGTTACAGCAGAGACAAGAAGATGGAATGACGTTTGGTGCTCAGTGGGTCGTACCTCCACTCTTTCCTATCTGTCTCTCCCGTCCTTGCTCTCTTTCTCCATCACATAAATCAGGGAATCATACATGCGTATCTCTTCCTCCTCCTCTTTCTCGCTCTGTCCATCCCGTCTGTCTCCCTCCACTGGCTTTTATTAGGACAGTAGATGGAGAAAGCAGAACCGATCCCATCCTCACAAACCCAGGTACTGACGCACACACAAAGCGTTGCCATGTGTGATGTAAACACCAGCACATATGCTGCAGTTACAGACTGTCCCGGAGTTGCTTCTCAGCGTGTTTGATGTTTTTTATTGTGTGAAAAAACAGGAAAAACCATAATAGTCTGATGGTGTTTTGAAAGGTGAAGTCAGAGGTCGGGTCAGGGTCAAGGTTCAAGGTCAGTCGAGCTGGGTGGGTCCGTTAAACCAGATTTTCTAGTTGAATGAGTCAAACGACACATTACACGGAGCTGCAGCCACACGCAAGATTCAAGCACATGAAGTGTGTGTGTGTGTGTATGTGTATCAGACACTCTCTTTCCTGTGTTGTTAAACTGCAGTATATAGATACAAATCAGTTTATAACACACAAACATGCACAACGTTCACCTTTTTTAATCTTTTGTCTTCATTGGTTCCTATTTAGCAGTGGTGAAATGTAACTAAGTACGTTTACTTAAGTACAAATTCAGTGTTTAGATTTGATTAAATATTCCTTTATGGGTTAAGAAAATGCTAATACCTCTTAAGAGAAAAATAAACTGAGCTCATGAAAGGTGACTTTTTAGAGATACGTGATTCTCAGAACAGTTACTCTACAAAAATATGATGATCTTACAGAATTTGATACATTGCTGTAAATTAAACTAAACCAAACAAAATGATTCAGGATGGGGATGTGATCCCATTCCTCTTCATGGAGAACAGTTCAATTCACGAGTCTGGTCCCTTAGATTGCTCAGACTCCTAGGGGAGTGACAA